AATTTTCTATACCCCCTTGCCTGGCAAAGTAAACAACGTATTTTCCTATGCTTGCAGCTTCTCTGAGCATGAAACCCTCATGAGTTCCTGATAATAAGCAAGCGGTTTCTGGTTGGCCACTAATCAAGGAGAGTACTATATAAGCTGCCCTGGAACACCATAAAATTGGCATTCTTGTTTCAAGAGTGATCCATGTCTCTGTGTGTTCTTTATTCTACAGATCCTTGCCCAGTAGTGGTTCCAGGTGGTGCAGGCACCACAATATGTCGAAGCAACTTTTGTAACATGCATGAGAAGCTGTCAAAGCGGGATCTGAAGACCTTTTGAAGAGTTCTTCAAGGCCGAATTTATTCACAGGGAAGTAGCAGTGTATAGTTGCCTTTCTGCAGTGTTAGCATTTGTGTTAACGGGATAATGCTACAGTGGATGAAAGTGCTCCGGGAACACATCAGCACGGTTTGCCTCTGCACCACTGAGCACGCTTGGTTTAATAGGAAAAGCTGAGCCAATTCCCTCATAGAACTTTAGGAGAAAAATCATCATTAATCACATTTGTATTGATGTTCATGATATATCATTTCATATTATGTATAAAACATACATTTTAATGCTTTAAATTTCTAGACTTTCAAAGAAGATCCAACACAGAACAATAAAGTAATTTTATAGAACTTGAAAGTAATTTAATGACCTAAAAATTAAAGATGTATGAGGGAAAAGCAGAAAAAACACTCAGCCAATTTCAGTTTCAGTTTCAAATATCTAAAGATATTTAAGCTGTTCAAGGCTGAGACAATAGCATGAAACCTAAGACATAGCTAAGTCTCCCCAGTCTTAGCTTGTTTATGTGATCATAGACAGACAGAAGTTGAATCTACATCTCCTGGCCTGGCCTTCATACTCTGCAGGCAGGCCAGTCAATTGTTCCAAAGGTAGTCTCTTTCAGGTGAGTGATAACTTGAGGTGAACTTCTGCTTTCCAGAGTACCCAGTGGGATTAAATCCAGTTTCTTATAGCGGCAGTGACTTCCCTGAAAATAACCAGGGGCTGCCTCCACCCCCACCCCCCACCTGACTTGGCTATTCCTTTTCAGTTGTCCTGGGACCAAATCACCTCTTTAATAAATTGCATGCACTTTATTTCATATCTCAAAGTTAGAGACTACATGTATTTTTCATCATTGTATTTTATTTATGCCAGACTACAGTTTCTGGGACACAGTGAGTACTTAACAGATAAGTCTTGCATTAATTTCTTAGTTTTTAAGCATAAGTGCACATTAGAATTGTCAAATTCATTTTTATAGCACAAACCTTGCATAAAGTAGACATGAAATTAATGTGTATAAAATACATGAAAGTACAAAGTTGCCAGTGTTATTTTTTTTTATAAAACAGTCTATCTAATACATTAATGCTGATTTAGGCACCAGTGGGAATTGAATAAATTGTATTATGTATTAATAGCAAAGTTAAATTAAATAATCATACTTTAACTGAATGGACTGGCATTAAATTGAGGTAGAAGCCCTGTGTGTAAGCAACGTGACATTTCAAAGGTAGACACATTTGTGGCACCACTGTTGTGAGCTCAACAAGTCTACAGTTCTCATCAAGTAGTCCTGAAGGGAAAAGAAGACATATTTGTTGATAGCTTGTTTGCCAGGTATAGATCCTACAGCCATTCGTTTGTAAGTTTTGGCTGATATCTATTATAGGAAATGCACTTTACATCAGGAACTAAACACACAAAATATAATTATTAATAGAAGACAAGCTGAAAACTAAGTCTTAGCTTTGATACTATACATATATAAAACATTCATATATTTTCATATATAAAATATGCTATATTTTATCTGCTCTTGGTAAAACTGTTTCAATAAAAGAAAAATATGGTGGGCATTTTTTTATCTGATTTGGGTACTACTATTGGGGCCTCACTGACATCTTGCAGAACACTGCAAGAAAGAAAATGGTGAGCTAAAGCAAAGACCATGCTTTCCAAGAAGCTCTCAGAAAAGCATTAATCAGTCTTTTAAAACCTATACAATAATGACCATCATAACTGCTATAAATCAGATGTTCATGGGCTCAAAAGAGCAAAATGATGTAGAAAACTCACTTGGCCTGTGTGTTGGGTGTCTGGAGGCATGAAGGGTGCTTATTAAAATTGGAGGGTGGTTTAGTGAGGGTGTCTTTATGAAACCCATGTGTGGAAGCCTAACCTTGGATGTAGGAGCTGGGGTATTGGGAAGTTTCATGATGTGAGAGACTTTAAGAAAGCAGACAGTTCTCCTGCAGTGTGATGATATGCCGCGAAGGTGATGGTCTGCTTCTTCCTTAGGATCCTTTATTATAATCTCCCCAATACTGACACCTTGACCTTAACCCTCCAGCCCCCAGTGCTATGAGAAACAAAGGCTTAAAACCCACCCAGTTAGCAGGAGTGGTAAAGAGTCTTAGTTGTTGACAGCCTGTAAATTAGCAGAAAAGTTCCTTGAACAACTGACACTCATGCTTTGCCCAACTGAATAGATCAAAATGACTACAGAGGACCAAATGAGAGTAAATATGGGATAGAAATATCACAGTTTCATTATTATACAGGTCACTTGTGAACTGGCATACAAATTTTGTACAAAATTATAACATTAAAGAAAATAATATTAATGTGAATATAAAGTGGGAAAAGGTTGGTTGCTATAGACCCTGAGTAAAATGCAATTTTAAGTGATCATGGTAATAATAAGGATCATGTTGCTGAAACTATTAGCTAACACAAGGTGTTATCCCCATTAATTTTCTAAAGACAGGGTATGAAGGCCCAGGAAATGTCTCCGTGGATAAGTTCACCTGACAACATGACAATCCATGTTCTATCCTCATAATTCACATGGTAGAAAGAGAAAACTAACTCCTGTATTCTTTGACTCCTACACACACACACACAGACACACACACACACACACTTACTAAATGAATGAAAATGTAAAAATATAAAAGAAAATGCAAAAATATTAAAGGTATATGAAGTAAAGTAGATATCCTAGCTTTTCAAATGAGGAAACTAAGAGACAACGTGCATAAAGTAATTAGCTTAAAGTGGCAAGTCTAATGAACCACAAACCAAATGTAACTACAGTGACCAGGTCAGTTTTATTTTAGAGCCCAAACATTTTCTTCACTGCATTGCTCTTACTTTGTGCTTAGCACTACATACAAATGCTGTTTCTGGTTAAATGCTTTCTTATCTCAAAAGAAATATCAAGCTGATATCGATCTCAGAAAATTTATTCTTGGGTCTTAATTTTTCATCTGATCAAAAAATTGTCTTAAATATATACACAACAGTTAAAATTGTCACTCCTAGTTGAAAATTTCTTCCTAGATGGAGAAAGAGGCATATGAGACCCATATTGTACATAAAAATTCACATATCTGAGAAAGTGTAATTGTGGAATATTCTCAAAGGCCCCTCCCCACTTTTGAAGAAGGAATGTGGGAGGAGACTATGGCCAGCCATGATGCACAGCAGATAGATTTCTTGGACCATCAAGGTGTTCAGAGAAATCCAGTGGCACAGATTTGTGAGTTATCACCCAAATTGGGTGGGCTTTTCAGTGTATCGGCTGATTTTGAGATGTCCCTGCTCCTACCACAAACCCTTTACCCATAATCCTGTTAGTAACTCCAGTAAAATATCATTGGTTCACCAAGTTGGACTTTTGATGCAATTATTACTTTTGTCTGTTGTGGGATTAATTTCTGGGGCAGAGGTGTGTGTGTGTGTGTGTGTGTGTGTGTGTGTGTGTTGCTGTTGTGTCGCCCGAGGAAAAGCCACTGATGCAACATGGATCCATGCTATGGAATAATCTTTCATTACACTGTAAATATGTATTACTCTCTGGTAAACAAAGAAGTTGATTGGCCTATAGCAAGGAAGGATAAAGTTAGGTGGGACATTCAAACTGAGGATACTGAGAAACAGACAGGCAGAGTCAGGTAAAATGTCATCAGCCCTTTAGAAAGCAGGATGTGTGGGAATGAGGTAATAAGCCGTGAGCCATATGGAGAAGCATAGATAAGAAATATGGGTTAACTTAAGTATAAGAATTAGGCAGTAGCAAGCCTGAGCTTTGAACCAGGCATTTATAGGTAACATTAAGCCTCTGAGTGGTTATTTGGGAACTGGCAGGTAGGAGAGAAATGTCCAACTACATATCCATAAAATAAAACAATAAGAATAAATATGGGATTATTTAATGGGACAGTCACAGAAAAACTTTGATGGAGGCTGAAAATGGCTTTTTAAGTAAAGTAGTTGCTGTGCAAGTTTTAAAACTTATTTTCTGATCCTCAGCATTGAGTGAAGTTTAGGTGTTGTAACAAATACCTATAATCCCAGAGTTTTGGGGGTGGTGGCTGAAGCTCCTTGAAGCTCATTGGTGAGACAATCAGACCCAACCAGTGACCTCTTAGTTCATGTCTCCAAAAACAAGGTGGACAGCAATGGAAGAAAACACTGACATCAACCTCTGGTCTCCATATGCATGTATGTGTACACCTGTATGTACACACACACATATACACACACAACCCAACCTGACTAGAGCTAAAATGTTCTATCAATATTTATGAAACTACTTAATGGGTTAGTATTATTAACTATTATTATAATATTATATATTATAGAATATTAATATTATATTTATATTATAATACAATTAATTAGTATTAATGTATTAGTCAGGGTTCTTTTGAGTAACAGAACTTAGAGAATGAAATTCTCTCTCTCAAGGTATATGTATGTATATGTATATATGTATATATATGTGTGTGTGTGTGTGTGTGTGTGTGTGTGACTTTCAGGCTGCAGCCTAGTTAGCTAATGCAACAATGGTTGGTTATGTACAGAAAGTCCAAAAATCTGTTCAGGAGTGGAGAAACACAAGACGTGAGCAACAAGTAGTGCTTCAGGTACTCTCCAAGTTCTTGCTTATGGAGTATTTGGCTCATCCTGGTACATTCAGCTTAGCTGCTGGAGTTGCTTGTGGCATGTGCCTGGGCTGGGGCCTCCGGGGTCACCTTGGCATGTTACCCCAGAGCTCAACAAGTGAGACAAATAGAGGCACCAAGACAGAAACCGAAGCAAGCATTTCTGGGGAGAGTGGAGAGTACAAAATGATTCTTGTGGTTCGAAATGACCTAAAGATGGGAAAAGGAAAGGCTGCTGCCCAGTGTCCTCACGCTGCTTTTTCTGCCTACAAGCATATTCAGAACAAAAACCCTCAAGTGCTCAAAGAGTGGGAGTACTGTGGCCAGCCCAAAGTGGTGGTCAAAGCTCCAGATGAAGAAATCTTCATTGAATTACTAACCCATGCGAAAGTGTTGGGACTGACTGTAAGTTTAATCCAAGATGCTGGATGTACTCATATTGAACCAGGCTCTTGAACTGTCCTGGGAATTGGGCCAGGACCAGTAGAGCTAGTTGATGAAGTTACTGGCCACCTAAAACTTTACTAGATGAGCTTTTATGTAATGTAATGTGGTGATTCTGTCAGTAACAATAAAAGCTTAATTCTTGCTCCACTTTTGAAAAAAAAAAGTAAATCCAAGAATCTAATAGTTGCTCAGAGTCTTTTTCTAACTCAAATGATCTGGATTAATGGTGTGTCTTTCTACCTCAAAAATCTAGATTAGAAGGGGATATTTTTCTTCGAATTAAGCAAAAATCCCTCACAGGTATACTCCTATTTTTGGCTTTTACTCAATTCCAAAAATAGTCAAATTGATAACCAAAAATAGCCATCACAGTTGACTATCTCAAAAATTATTTCATCAGTTTGGTGTGTGCGTGTGTGTGTGTGTGTGTGTGTGTGTGTGTGTGTGTGTGTGTGTGTGTGTGGTGTTAGTACTAGGGGTCAAATCCAAATCCAGGGTCCTATACATACTGGACATACACTGCACCAACAAATTATACTATTAACCCTAATTTTTACCACTATGTATTTACTAGAATATAATCATTCCGTAAAAGAATTTTTTCAACATGAATGAATATTAAAAGTCCAAAGATAGAGAAGAAGGAAGAGGAATAAAAAGTGGTGGATGGGAAGGAAAAGGACGAAGGAAAGAAGAGGAAAACATAGAAAAGGAAGAGGAAGAAGAGGGAGGAGGAAGCAGTGAAGAGAAAGAGGAGGAGGAAGAATAGATGAATAGGAAGGGATGAAGAGAAGTGGAGGGGGACAATGATGGGAGGAGGAAAAGAAGAGGAAAAAGAATGGAAGTGGTAGAGTAGAGGAGAATACAGTGGGATGATTGATCAGTTTGACTCCATCTTATAATTAAAAGCCATCTCATCATGAGGTCAAAATAAGTTCAGTCTTGTTTCCCTTAAAACTTAAGTTTGACAATCTCTTGATACAATCTCTGGAATTTGACATGATCTACATTTTATATCCTAACCTCCACCTTGATAAGATGTTTGGCAAAATAAATTTGAAATGTTCTGAAAAGATCCTACACAATCAAAAACCCTTGAAAAAAAACGCCCAGCCTTGCAGTTTGGAGGCTAATATAAACCTTACCTCCTCCTATGTTTTATTTTCTAAACTGTATTTGAGGGAGATAGTCTCTCTGGCAAAATATAAAGCTTGTTTATTTCAACTAAGGGTTTTTGGGTAGCAGTTCTTTATTTTCTTTGGGTGGGATTAGCAGAAGATGGGAGGAGAGAAATCTTAGAACCATAATAAAAAATTACTTCAGTTCAGTTTTTGAGATTAAAGAAACGGACACTACCTTAAGATTCAGAAATAAAGGTATCTCATTCCCATGTTCTGCCTACTCTAAGTAGATACTGTGTCTGTTAGATTTAGCGGCACAGCAGTGAGAGCATGGGTCATAGGAGCCTGTCCGCAGCCAGATGAACCTACCACCTTCCACTGCTGAGGAATGCCAGCACAGCAAGTGCCTTAGTGACTCCTCTGTTAATTGAATGCGTATTTTACCTGGTGAAAATTTTAGGACTTGGAGGCACACTAAGGTAATTGTACTAAAAGGAACAGACTGTTAGCCTGGAGAGGACTGTGGTTTAGAGCACTCTCAGGTTTCTGTTGATTGTCCTCAGGGGTGCAGAAGAACTGATTTGCCTCACATGGATGGGGAGTTTGACACCTTGTTGCTTAAAAATTGCTTATGTTTAAAGTATACACAACAGCTAAGGGGCCATGCAGATGCCACATTACTGAATAGCATATGGACATCTCCAGGGTTGTTAAAAAATGATCACACCAGCCGTCTGTCTTTACTGAGGCTTACTGTATTTATACAGTTATAAGAGAGACGATTCCACTTTCAATGAAGCTCAGGGGAACTATATCCAGGAGGGAAGGAAGCAGGGAAAGCACTTGTGAACTTGCAAGAGAAACTTTTATGTTTCCGTAATGGCTATTTTCTTAACCATGTGGCAGTTTTGAATCTCCAAGGGGCCAAAAACATTTTAAGATAAAAAAAATTATTTTTAAAATGTATAACTCAATGTCATTACACTCTCCAACTAAACACGTTTGGTAGCAATGCTGGAGTTAGCAGATTTCGTTATTGTTATTTGAGAGTCAAAATCAGTTGCTGATACAAATTTATCTCATTCTAAAATCTTCCCCAAACTTTGTTCAAACTTTAATTCTGCTTAGGAAAGAGAAGATGCTGAAAGAGCAGCTGTGCACTTTGCGCTACTTAGGTCAGCCTGTACCTTTGGTATTTGCTTTCTTCTGAGCCTGCACATGCCACAGCCATGCCCTGCCCTTAATTTCTCCCTAAGGGTCAAGCTTTCCAATGTCAAGTACACTGCTAAGAAAGAAGTACATTCTCAGTACACAAAAGCGCGCGCACACACACACACACACACACAAATTGGAATGGTTGGAGACTGAGGACGAGCCACAAGAACACCATGACTATGATTGTGTGATTTTTGTCCAGTGATCAGGGTGGGAGAAGCGCAGCTGATCCTACAGGAACACATATTACAGCAATGGGGATGAGCTGAAAATGTGCACAACCACAATTTGTTACCCAAGTCAAAGTCACTTCTGATTCCTGTCTCATGGAATGAACCATCACTCTCCGGCTACATGGAGCTTATTGCCCCATTTCAACAGCCATATAAGCAGCAATAAAAATGTCCCGAATGGTTAATAGCTATATTTTGTATTGTTGATTAATGCTCAGAATAGATTTTAAGTGCTCTTAGCATATCAGCGATGCCTATGTATGGTAATAAACAGTAGATTAATTCCACATTGTATATGCGTTTTGAAATAGCATACTATGCTTGGTAAATAAATATTCTTTTAGATTTTTTAGTGGGTAGAAGGAAGGTGGGGGGAGGAAACGAGAAGAGAGGAGAGAAGGGAAACTGAGCAATATAAATTTAAAAATTAATAAAAACATGAATATACACTCACAGATTTTAAAAGTCCATCTTAGTAAAGACTATATTGAAGAATGAATAGATATAATCCATGCATTTAACACACTAACGAAATAAGTGTACTCATAGAGAAAACAAATGACACAGACCAGTGCCGTTCAGACTTAAATCTTTAAGCTGTAGATAATTTTAAAGGTTTTATTTTCTAAGAATTTCACACATGAGTACTATATTTAAACCATTTCTACCCTTTTTCTCCCTCCTTTAAATCCTTCAGTCCCCAACTCAGTCTCTAATTTATGAGCCCTCTTACTATTATTATTACACACACACACACACACACACACACACACACACACATCTACTGAATCTCTTTATTCTTGCTCTTAAGTACATGTGTTTAGGACTGAGCCCTTGATATTGGGCAATCTATCAGGGGCCTTGTACCTGTATAAAAGTGATTGTCCCTCCTGAATCAACCATTGCTTGCCTATAGCTCTTCATCAAGGACTGGAATATCCTCCAGGCATATTTGCATGTATCGTTATTATGCATTTATATGTTATATAACATATGGCATATATATTATTAGGCAATAATGTTGTTGAGATTCTGTGGGTGCAACTTCCCTGTCATGTCTAGAAGACACTATCTGGCAGCAGGTATCCTGATCTTCTGGCTCTTACAATATTTCCACTATTTCTGCAATGTTTCCCGGAGACCCAGGTATAGGGTATGAGTTATAGATGAAAACTGAGGCTGAGCCCTACATGATTGCTCAGACTCTGGGTTTTCAGGAATTGGGGATCTTTTTAGTAGCCTTTACCTACTGTAAAGGGAGGACTTTTTTTTTTTTTTAAATAACAAGTCAGAGATACACTTACCTGTGCATATAAGGATAAGTATTTGGAATGTGGTTGGAAACTATATTGATCTATAAAAATACAGTTTCTTCTTTAGGTTCTATGACTTCTCCAGCCATGGATCAGTTTTACAGTGCTAGGCATGGAATTCCCACTTTCTAGCAGTCCTTAAGTTCAGTTACGCAGATATTGTTTTTCCCATAAGATTAAGTGCCATTGGTGGAAATATCTTGCCAGGCTGCTCATTATTGTGGTTTTCAGGTTTTCCAGCTAAGAAGGATTACTAACTAACTGTCTCCACTTCAGTTTTGCCTGGAAACCACCTAGAAATGGAGATCGCTTTATCACTGTTAAAAAAGGCCATTGCCAGTTCAGTTTAGCTGCCACAGATTCCATGGATTCTAAGTAATTCATCTGAGTTCAACTTTTGAGAAATGGAATTTTGGTTAATAGTGTCTACTCCATACCAAATACTGTGGACCACTTAATCTCAACAAAACTTGAGAGAAGAAATTTTTATTTCCATCACTGTATGTTTTATAGAGTTTAGGAATATTAGATATCTTGCCTTCCCAAACATTCTAATTACACAACAGAGGCATGCCCTATTCTGTAGCCTGCATATAATACCATGGCCTAAAGCTAAATTGCTTTATACTAAAAAGTATATAACAACATGATATATTGGTAAGATAAAACAATGTGATGGCTACAACCGTAGCTACATGTTAATAAAAGTAACTTAATAGGACTTGAAGTTTTTAAACTCTTCATCAGTATTCTGAATTGTGAAACTGTAATCAGAACAATTTTGAAAGTGTTACAGTGGAGAAAAACAAGCCTGAGATCAAAGACAGTTTTATTGCCTTTTCACACTTGTGGGATTTCTCTACAGAAATCCTAGAGCCCACTTTGATTAACACCATAGAAACATCCATTAGAGTATGTAGTTAGCTTTGGCAACACTATTAAAAATGCCCTATCATGATACCTGGTGTCTTCTGAAGCCTAGAACTGTACCTTGTTCCAATTAAATGATACCAGTCTCTACAAGGTACCATAGCGCATCAGAGAAGTCCCAAATCATTGCTGGTAAGAACAAAAGTAATTACTCAATCCTCAGCACCCTTTGGCTTAGAGTGTTTTGTATAAGTTCA